CCTTCCAGCAGCGGTCTCACCAGGGAGGGCCGACACTCGGCCCCCACCCGAGACGAGCGTAGCTCGCGCACATCCCGGAAAACCAGGAAGGGGCTTAGGTCGTGTAGCGGTGCAGACACCGTCATGTCTGAAGCCCCATACTACCCAACGTTACATCAAGCAGCGAAGCAAAGCTCATCAGGCAGCACAGACCGGTGACACTACCTATTGCAAGCTTACTCGTGCACCTCTCTGTCTTAGGTATGCTTCGGGTCGTGGATCATGCTTGCCCTGTTCAAGGTCGACACCCCCAGTCTTTCTTTTGTACGTGTCGCATTGTGCCAGGGATATTCCGAATCAGAAGAACCTTGTGCAAAGCTCGCCGCCGCCCTAGACCTCCGCATCACAGCCAAAATCAAACGTTGAATCCGGTCAGTGCGGCCTCAAATTTTCAGCCAGAGCTGCCACTGCACCCTGGCGATGCAAGACTCGGTCTGGTGAGGCGTCGAGGCTCAGCAGCTTGTCGACTTCTTGCAGAGCGTCGGGGCTTTTTCACGGATTCAGCAGCTATCGAACGTGGTCAACAACGTAACCAAGGTCGCCAACACCCGGCATCACACGAGGAGAGAGAGAGCAGCATACCATGCCAATCGTCTGACTTGACTAGTCAACACACGGATCAGCGCAGCGAAACTTCGGACTGCAGAAAACTTCGATCGCATCGGACCCCCGAAGCGGCGAGCCGACTTCGGCCCCGCCACACTCAGCGTCAGAACCGGCCCGGTCCCAAGTCCGGGGCTCACTTGGTTAGATTGATATTCGGCTTCCATCTCAACCAAGTGGGTGGAGTGAGGGTTCCTAGAGGTTCCACGCCTCTGGGGAAACCCAGCCCAATATCCTCAAGCCTCTCCAGAGTGGTGGGGAAGCACGTGGCAGGCAATCACACAGGAGCCATCGAGACTAGATCAGCACTTTTTCAGTCATCGGCCAGATTAAGCAGGCAGAGAGGCGGAACGCAGCCTAGATTTCGAATCTTCACTCTCAACGTGGGAGGCCAGTGCCTTCATGTGGGCCGACCTGAAGGCTTTCCTGAATGGCCCTGGTAAGATCTACGACGCTATCCTATTGCAGGAAACGCATCGCACTGAAACTAGTGAATTTCTCACTCAGGGCTGGAAAGCCATAGGCGCAGCCACTAAGACCAAAGCGGACGGCGTCCTCACGCTCACACATCCCAAACACCCCATCTTGGGATCAAACGTGAGGCGCTTGTGCCAGGTAGGGCCTTACGCACCCAGGTACACACGGCCAGAGGACGTATCGAGCTTATCAATGTGTATCAGCATGTCTGGTCTCATCAGGCCACCAAAGAACAAAACCTTGCACAGAGGCAAAAACTTCTTGATAAGCTCTCGCGCACCATACAGCACATAGCGAGACGAGACACTCTCATAGTTTCAAGGGACTTCAATGCTGAACTTGTCCGCTCCCAAGGACATACAGGCACGGCGCATGCCAACACGGCCCGTCACGTCGGAGCCGAAGCGCCGGACCCTCAGGCCTTGACGCGATTTGTCGAAGACAGCGATCTAATAGGCCTCAACACTTTCCACTGCAAGCCCCCCCACACCTATTATGGTCAGCAGGGAAAGAGTCAAATTGACTTTGTTATGACCAGGAGCCCGTCAGCTGATGCACGAGCCAAACAGCCGCGAATCTTTGAGCCACAAATAGGCGGGTGGAAGGAACTTGGGCACCGTGCCATTGAAGCGGATGTGAGAGTCATACAGCACTATCACTTACCTGCCTTCGCCAAGCCGTTCCTGGAGTATGATCGTCAAAAACTTGATCAATCGGTCCGGGCCCAGGATGCCCAATGTGCTCAGCTTAAGCATGTTGTTCAGGCTAAGCTCCAGGCGGCCCAGGCAGAAGCCCCCGTAGTTCATCCAGATAAAGTAAACGAATGCTTACTACAGTCGGTTGTGGAACTTTATCCGGCGCAGTCACCGACACGCGCAATGGAGCAAGGGGTCTTCCCTAAGCTGTGGGTCATGTGCACACAACTCCGCCGATCACAGCCATGCACCATGTACGGCTTCCTGAAGGCATGGAAGGTGTGGACGCGCTACCGCAGCACAGTGAAGATCGCGCGCGCAGCCTGTGTCCAGCAAAAGAGGGACTTTGCCACTTCCCAATTTCTCAGGTCTCTACAAAGTGGTGAGATCGCTATAGCACCATGGAAGCCAAGGCAGCGAACGCAGCTTCAGGACTCCACAGGCCGACTTCTGGATTTCGCACAGGAACACACCGCCCTGAAGAATTACTTCAGCGAGCTTGCCCCGCCGCACCTAGCACCGATCCATGCCAGGGTGCCGCCGGTTCTTCCAAACAGCCCGGCCCTTATCGAGAAGCAGCTCAGCAGTCTCAAGATCGGAAAAGCGGTTCCGCCACTCTCTGCGCCAACCGCAGTCTGGAAGTGTTGTGCGGAAGTCATCGCCACGAAGCTGGTACAATACATAGATCATGCTCTACCGACGCAGAGCAACATGCCCAGTGGATGGACCGACGCCTATCTTGCCCTGTTGCCGAAACCAGAAAAACCGTCGCATCTCCCAGAGAACCTCAGGCCCATTGGGCTTATACGCCCCGATGGCAAAGCGATAGCAGGGACCCGTAAAGGAAACATTGATGCCCCAAGTCAGGACGCAGCTTGATTCGGCCCCACAATTCGCATACTTGAGTGACCGGCATATGACGAACTGCCTGGTACGACCCGCTTCGCCCGGCGGGAACAGGTTGAAGCTGGCACATACAATCCTGCTGAGGGGCCGGAGCTGGAAGGATGCATCATTCTCTCCCTCGATCTCTCGAAAGCCTTCGACATGGTGGATCGCAGTCAGCTCGAAACTAGTCTGCGTCAAACAGGGGCCACCGAACAGCTCACAGCGGCAATTCTAGAACTGCACGCTACGGCCCAATACATAGTGTTCTCCGGAACCCAGTCATCTGGCATTCGTGCCACTAGGGGTGTTAGGCAGGGGTGCCGTCTTGCACCGGCTCTCTGGTCGATACTCTCATCCCAACTTCTCAAAGACCTACAAGCAGAACTCCACCTGCCCGACCTAGAGGACTACACGGCTTTCGCGGACGACACGCTTGGACACTGGCGAGTACGCAGCTTAAAAGACCCAGAGCTCTTCACCACTCATGCCCTGGCCCTCCTTAGGCTACTGAGACGATATGGCCTGAAGCTCAATGAAGACAAGTCCCAGCTCATGTTCCGACTCCAGGGTCGCGGGGCAGCCAAGGCCCTAAAAGGTCGGATAGTCCAGCATCAAAAGAAAACATGCTGGCACCTACACGACGCCAATGATCAGTTCTTTATCCCAATAGTCACGGAAATTAAGTACCTGGGCAATATGCTCAGTGGCTTAGTGTGCGCCGTAGCTCGGCCACCATGACTTTGCAATTTCGGCTTTCGGAGGCAGACAACCCAACCAGACAACTGAAGCGAACCATTCGCAGCAGGCGCATCATCCCAGTCAGAACGCGCCTCGGCATCTGGCAGACATGTGTCCTGGCCAGTGCGCTCCATGGCCTGCACGCACATAAGCTCAGCCAAGCCGATCTTCTCCAACTTTCGCAATGGTATCACAAGCAAATTCGTGCCATCACCCACCAGCCGGCTCACATCACTAAGCTCAGCAACGAAGCGCTGCGGCAGCAACATGGTCTACAAGACCCAACCACAATCCTTCGAGACCGAGCCCAACACAAATTGCGGAAGATCATGCAGTCACCAGGCCTACATGTGGGCAACTCCACCTCCGCACAGGAGCAATGGCGACAGCTTGTGCAGCACTACGAGGCCATGCTCGCGGCAACTAAGGCGAAAATTCAGGAGCTACCGAACAACCCACATGAACAGATGCACGCCTGCAAAGAGTGCGGACAGTACTTTCCCACAATCAAATCACTTCGACAACACATGGGTAGGAAGCATGGCATCAAGGTGCAGATTCTTGAACACATACAGTATAGGGCCTCAGAGCACTCTGTTCGAGGAATGCCAGAATGCATACATTGTGGACTCAAAGTCAGCACCATGACTGCGCTTAAGGACCACATCATGCGCAATGCGTGCCAGTGGCACAAAGAAGACGCAGATCCAAACGTGCACACTGACTTGCCAAAGGATGGTCCCGCCTTATCCCCATGCAATGACGAGCATGATAAATCGGCCCACACCTTGGAGCCGGCTCAGGCAAGTTCGCCTCATCCTCCTGCACCAGTGTCACAGGACACTTCCGCCAATCAGCCATCCACGGCGGCCATCTTTGACAAGCTCCCTCCGCGGACCTGCATCTCTCTCAGGCGCAGGCCATTCGTGACGTGGCCCTTGAGCATGCCGAGCATCTTCGTCATCACTGTGCGATTTGCAATCAGTGGATGATGGACAAAAACACTGTCAAAATGCACATCTTGCGACAACATGCTTCAGCATGGTTTCAGTGCAACCCTACCATTAAAGACTCGCTAGAAGCCTTTCGTAGCCTTATGATTCGTGATTCGCAATGCCCTCTCTGTTTGAAACCCGTCTATGGCACCTCTAGACACCTACTCCAATGCCCGGTGGCCATGCAGATGGCATTCATGCTAAGACTGCGAGTGTTAGGAGTTGCAGTCCACGAGGCACCTCAACTGCGTGTCAATCTAAATCACAGGCTTGCGCAGAGGTTCTTGCAGGACCTTCAGTTTGCCGCGGCCTCGGAGCATACACTGCCACGAGAGATGTTACCTATGCAATGACACTACTGTTGATGTGCAGTCATGGAGACGACACATGCGTCAAAATCACAGCAAGCTTTGGGCTCAACAAGAGAGTCGCATTGCTCCGCGCCTGCGTCAAATCACATTTGGCAAGCCGTGCCCATTCTGCAAAACCGAATTTCAGAAAACACCAGCTGTGCATACCACCAAGTGCCTGCCGCTGTTACAACTAGCAGTCTGTGCCAATGCAGGTCCTCATGACAACGCCGACGGAGCAGATCTCAGCGCTCTGGGGGTCTACGTCCCCCCTCACGCCGCCACGACCCAAGAAGGAAGACACGATGAACAATGGCAGGAGAACAAGGCCACGACTCACCAAGGCGGCAGGCATCCCGGCCCGCACACAGCGGAAGCAGAAGAGAGAGTTGCCCAGGGAGGAGTCGGAAGAGGAAGAGCTCCTACAAGACATGGCGGCCGCCGGAGGACCACCAAAAACCCCTCCTCAAGATGCTGGTGCAACTCGTTCTCAGGCACGAGTTCTCAATCCAGATGTTGGAAGCAGATCGCAGCTTCTGTCTCTAGCTGACAATGAAGGAGAGCACGCTACTCCCGCAGATGTACAAGACATCTTTGAAGTGGAAGGAGAACTACGAGGCGGGCGCCGGTTGTTGTGTTTTACTCAACTGTGTTTACAACTATGCTACACACTTTCAGTGCTTGAGAATGTTGCTATGTACACAGCCGCTTTGCTCAGCTGACTGAACATGTCGTGCAGCAGACATGTCACTTCTTTTTCCACTCACGCTGATCTTTGGCATATTGCGCATTTTTGGCATGACAATTTTCATAAGCCTATCCAGCTTCCCTAGGGCAGTTTAGGGTGTGCAAGCCGGGGCGGGCCGGCGGATGGCCCTTCCTTGGACTCCGAGAGAAGTCTGCTTTGGTGTGCAGGCTGCTCTTGAGTACATCAGGGAAGCAGAGGCGAAGATCTCAGCTCTTGAGCTTCGTGTGCGGGTTCTTGAGGCCACACGTGACCTGCAGGCGCAGGTTAACACATTGCAATTGCGAGTGGATCAATTGGAACAGGACGCTGCTGGGACCCAGGCGATACTGGCTGGTCCTCACAACATCGGCTTACGTGCTGAATTATCCGCTTTGCATAAGGTCCTTTCGGGCTGCGTTGAATCTACGAATCGTGCAGAGAGTGAGCTTCTCCTGTTGCTCTCCTGGAGAACCAACTTCACCAAGGTGCTCCAAGAAGAATTGCAGAGTATAGGGTTCCGCTTCGCCTCAGCGGGCCCCAGGTTCGAGCCGGCTTATCTTGATTCTTTAGATTAGGGTTTGCTGGTTCGCTGCTCTTTTTTTCTTGTAATTTCAGCATCGGCCTTTAGCATGCAGCAGCAGGCGTTGCGTCAACAGGCGCAGTCCGCAGGGCTTGTGGAAACATACCCTCTGGATCCTGAGGTCCCGTCTAGCACTGCAATGCCCTCCGGGTTTTCAGCAGCTTTCTTAGCACATTTGGAAAATGTGGGCAAAGATGACACGGCAGCATCGGTAGCGGCATCTTCCGATGCTGCACTTGATTCTCCTGAGAAACCGCGCTCGGCTCAATCTTCGTTGCTTTCTTGGCAGCCGGTTAGCGGCGGTTAGCGCTGACGACACACCTCAGGCAGTCTGTGTGGTCAAGCGTTTTCGTGCTTCTTCAGCTGCTTCGCAGGTTTGCTCTGTCGAGGCCCGGTCTTTGCTTCAGGCCTATCCTAAGGCGCATGTGGCACGTTCGCGGTCTCCTCCTCGGCCTTTGCAACAGAGGGAAATCAGCGGGGGATCGTGTGGATCATAGGCATAGGCTGGGGTTGGGGTCTAGGCTCGCTTTAGGCCCATTCAACCCCTTTGCCTGCTCCGACTTTGTCCCCTAGGTCTGCCCCTAGGACCCTCTGGCCGCCCCCTAAGCCTTTCAGTGGCCCGGCTCTGCCCATGCCCAAGCATCGTGCTGCATTCTATGCCAAGCACACACGGGCTCCTTCGAGGGGTTCGGTGGCAACTGCTATGGTTGGTCCTTCTTGCAAGTCTGCAGGGGTTTCAGCTGCCACAGGCTTGTGTTCACCCGTGCTCCCGCAGGCCTTTCAGCATTCTGGGATGCAGGTTCCGGTTTCGGCTGGCACGGGCCTTACTTTGCAGCAGGGTGTGCACCAACAACAATTTGAAGATGTTCGGCAACTCTGGTCATCGATCAAGCCTCTGCTGCTGCCGTTTTCTGTGGTATTGCAAGATCTGGAGGTTAGTTCACATGCCGGGGAACTTGAGCTTGGGCTGCTGCGAACAGTCTCGGAGGTCACAGCCCTTCGTTATCTCCGGACCTTGCGTAAGTTTCTGCTGCAGCTTGACGAGTTATGGAACCTGAGTTGGGACATGGCATCCCAGGCTGTGACAGTTGACTGCATTCTCTCTTTGCGCAGGGATCATACAGATTGTCATCAAGTGAACACCATCAAGGCTCTGCGTTGGGCTGCAAAGCTCTTCCGTCTCCGCGTGGAGGATCTCTACGAGGGGCTCTTTCGTACCCTCGTGGCAGCGCCAGCCTCAGGAAAGTTGCGCCGCGAGTCATATCCTTTACCTTGGAGGTTGGTCAGCTACCTGGAGCATGCGCTCATCTTTCGTACTCTGCCGGTGCCGGCATTACTCTTGGCCGGAGCTGCCTTGGCCTGCGTCTATGGATCATTGCGCTGGTCGGACTCACAGCATCTCCGCTGGGAGGCCTTGATGTTTTCGTCATCTTGTCTGCGTGCCCTGGTGTTCAGGGCAAAGACCTCTCGCGCGGGCATGCCAGTGGCTTTCCGCATTTTCGGGGTTCTAGGTTTGGGTTCGGAGGTTCGCCAAACTTGGCTTGCGCATTACCTTGAGATCCTTTCGGGGGTCTGGCAGGAGATGCGTGCTGCATTTGGGCAGGCTGTTTGTCCTGACTGCTTGTGGTTCACTTGGAAAAAGGCAGATGGGGCCTTCGCCCCCCTGTCGTATGCTCAGAGCCTGCGTTTCTTGCGGGAGGCAGCTGTGGCTTCCGGGTTGACAAGCGGCATCGTGCAAGCGCAGTCCTTGACACTTCATTCTTTGAAAGTTTGCCTTCTCTCTGCCATGTTAGTGCTAAACATCGATCGTGCTTCGCGGTGCGCTCAGGGCCACCACCGCGGTTCTGCCGCGGAGTTGTATAGCAAGGACGATGTTTGGAGTGCGCTTCAGGCGCAAGATGTTGTGCTGGCTAAGCTTCAGGCGGGCTGGCTGCCACTTACGCCTATGGCCAGAGGGGGGCAATCTCCGATCCAGCAACTGCCACTGCTGTCTGTCAGTGAGGAGAAGCCTTTTGCAGTGTTGAGTGCGCTGTTTCCGCTGCTTCCTGATTTCAGTGCGGCTGAATTGGTGCCGACCTTGGATTCTGCTGAACTCGGGAAGTCGGATGCCGGGTCTGAGGCAGCCGATCCTACAGCCGCGCCCCAGCTACACCTGCTTCAGTCTCAAGCAAAGCTTCCGGCGCAAGATTTTGATTCTTCCTCCTCTGATGGCGAATCCGTCGACGTAGAGTCGTTGGGCTGTGCTGAAGAGGTTGTTTTTGCAAAATCGGGGGTGTGTCATTTCGCATCTCCGGCCACAGCGGGTACGGGCTCACGGCATGCAGAGCTTTGGCTAAAACCTGCGTGTGGCATGTTGTCGCCGGAGCTCATGGTTCTTCATTCCTTGCCGGCGGGCGCCCGCCTTTGCAGACACAAAGCGTGTCAGTTGCTTCTTAGCAGGTGCGCGTAGCACCTATTGGATACTAGCTGTATCTTCGAGCAGGGAATGTCACCGCTGCTCACAGGTCTGCAGCCTCTCCGAGTCATTTTTGTTAGCTCTGCAAGTAGCTGCATGTTTGTGACTTGGTGGAGTGCTTGTGCTGCTGGCCATCAGGAAAAAACAGTGGCTCCGCGCTGATTGGCTGTGTGTCTAGCGGCTTGAAGGTTGCATGCAGCAATTCATGTCAGCAGAACATAGCGCTGCGGGGGGTCCTCAGGCACTGGCCCCTGTAACGCTGGCTAACGATTTCGGCATGCGGCTGTATTGCCTCGCGCTTCTGAGAACATTTTCGGCTGTGCAGTCCATACCATTGCACGGTGGGATTAGCCTGGAAGCTATGGCTGCTGCCGTGTCTGCCACAGCATTGCAAGGCCGCCACAAAAAAAAAACAGCAACAACAAGATTTGGCGCAGTATTGCGGGCTGCAGTCCCTTTGTGGGTGCGGCCCCGGCTCCACCCACGTGCCGGTGTGGGCGCTTTAGCTCACCTGTGCAGTTCTACTTGCGTGGCACAGCGGGGTACCGGTGGCATAAATCGGCCCGCCTAGCAGGCTTCAAGGAACCGGCCAGGGCTGCATTTGCTATTTTGCTGAGCTGGGGATTTCCCTCAGGTTGCGTTCACCCTGCCGGTGCAGTTTTGTTCGCAGGCTTAGCGCCACCGCAGTTTGTAGCACAAGCTTAACATTTGTGACACAGCGAAAGTCAACTTATGCATTCTGCGCTTGTACCTTCAGCCGGGGGCCAAGCACTTGCGCTATTCACTTCACTGCCCCTTTTTTCCCGGCAGGTGATGGCTCTCCGGATGGGGGCGTTTCTGCCCCGACGATGGCAGAATTGCTTGCGGAGCACTCCATTCCCGAGGTGCTCCATTATCATTTCGCCGAGTTCTCTCCGTCGGTCTTTGCCAACGTTTCTACGGACGCTGCTGGCTTAGACAGGTTCCTAGGGAGCCTCATGGAGAACACGGGCCCAGAAATGTTCGCTGTAGAAGCTCGTGTGCGGATGTTATGGAAATCCTGTGTCGCTCAGTGCTCTGAAAGCAAGAAGGCTCCCGGGGATCAGTCCATGGATGTGAAGGCAGATTCTTGGAGTGACCCTTTTCCTGCAAAGTTGAGTGCAACTACGTGGAAGTCATTGCGTGAAGATTTCCTTGCTTCCTACCCCTCCGAGCTGCTCAGCCCAGAGGACACACCGGGGGCGCGGATTATGGGCTTGGTGTACCGAGGTGTCTCCGACAAGTCGCTGAAATGGCCTCAGTGGAAGCACAGGTTATCAGTTGCGCAAGAACAATCACATCAGCTTTCCCGCCCTGCAAAGATGCCTCGGCTGGAAAGCCTTCTCTTCGACGACGTGCCGGCCAAGGACGTTCCCTCAGTCTTGAACTATGGGTACGTAGCGGGCATTCTTAACATGCACGCCAACGCTTTGGCTTTGTGCAAGGCTGCTCACCTTTCTGTCTTGAAGCGGTATGTGCAGGCTTTCCTCAAGCTCTGTTTTCCACAGCTTGAGCCTGGGTTCCGTGGCCCGTCGGTTCAAGAGGCCATTCAGGCGGATGAAAAGGCCTGGCAGGCGATCAACGAGCTGTACGCCCATCATGAATGGGAGCTGGGGGATGCGGTTGCTGAGATAATTGATGTTCGGATGGTGCTGCATGTGTACCTTCAGCCTCGCTTGGCTGCCTCTTCCCCTGCTATTCCCGGGGTTCCTCAGCCGCACGGGGGCAATCCCAGACGCCCTGTCAATGGCCCTTTCAATGGCCAGCGCGGCCGAAGGGTTTCATGGGCAAGGCTTTCGGCAAAGGGAAGCAAGCATCCTCGGGCCGTATTGATACCGTGAAGGTTGCTGGCCAGGTCCTTACCATTTGCCGCGACTTCAATACTAAGGAGGGCTGTAAGCGCACTGATTGCAAGTTTGCTCATGTGTGCAACGTGCCGCGTGCAGATGGCTTTGCCTGTGGCGGCAAGCATTCGGCTACGAATCATAGATCTGCTCCGCATTGACTATCTACCGTTGATAGCATTGCCTTGGCTGTGTCCCAGGCTGATCAGGACCCAGGCGCTTCAGTGTCGGCATCACCAGGCAGTGCGGAGCCTGATTATGCAGGCTGCCTTCAGCATCTGGAGGCGCATCTTCAGTTTTCCAGACACAGCGTGCGCGCCTCTGTGGTAGGGGAGCGTGCAGGCTATTTTAACTTCGGCCTTATGTTTGGTTCGGGCCAGGTGGGCCTCACCCGTTTGACGCATGCCTTCTTCGCAACATGTATCTTTCTGAATCAGTTTCTGCGCCAATGCTTCCCTGAAGGGGAATGGACATCCATTTGTGTGGCACGCTCCGTGCAAACCCGCATTCATTCTGACTCTGGTAATCTTGCAGGGTCCTACAACTTCTCGGTTTCCCTGGGAGGCTTCTCGGGGGGTCACCTTTGGTTGGAAGGTGACGGCTCGGTGCCTTTGCAGGACAGCTCAGGCAGAGTGCGCCATGGTCACACCGTGTGCACTCGGCATTCACCCTTCAAATTTCAAGCGGATGTCCCGCACGCCACGATGCCCTGGTCAGGTGGTGATCGCTGGTCGGTCACTGCTTACTCGGTTCCGGGTGCTGAGGTTCTCTCCGATGCGTGCCATTCGGAGCTACTTCGCTTGGGCTTTCCGCTGCCAGGCTCTCAAGCAAGCGAATCAATTCCGGAACCGGTGCTTTCTGCCTCGGAGTTGGGGGTCTTGCCTACCCCCCCCCCGCTGCCTCTTAAGCCAGTGGGGTTTTTCCTGGATATTTGTTCAGGTGCTGGGGCCCCATTGTCGACAGAGTTGGTCAGTCGTGGCATTTCGTGCTGTCCAGTGGACATTATCCGCGACGGCCCGGCAGGTGACCTCCTAGACGACTCGGTGTATGATCGTTTGGTAAGGATTGCTTCCAGCGGCCTGGTCTCTTTCGCGCACGCGAGCCCGGTTTGTTCCGACTTTTCCAGGTTGAAAAAGGAAGGTGATGGGGGACCGCGGCCCATACGGACCGTGGAATTCCCCGAAGGTCGTCCTGACCTCACTGCTGATGAACAGCAGCGACTTGATAGCAGCAAGCTTCTTCTGGTTCGCTGTGTCTCTATTTTAGATTGTGTTTTCTCAGCAGGGGGGCAAGTCAGCCTGGAACAGCCTCGTAACGCTTTAAGCTGGCTCACCATGGAAGTGCAAGAGTTCTTGAAGCGCATTTCAGCGGATCTCAATGTCATCCCGGCCTGCTCCGTTGGCATGTCGGTTCACAAACACTGGCTGTTTGCGTCAAGCTGGCGCCCTCTTCAGGCGTTGGCCTCCAGGTGTGATCATCCATACTCTGCTCATGCTGATGTAAGGGGGGTCAAGGACTCCTCAGGCGATTGGGCCTCCAGGAGAACTGCAGAATTTCCGCCATTGCTGTCCGCACGCTTCGCTGATCTTATCATGCCTGTGTTTTCACCAGGTCCAGATGCCAAGCTGCTATCATGCGAGGAGGCGTTGGGCATGGTACCTTGCAAGCCTCACAACGCCCTTCCGAGGGCGAATCAGGACGGGGGAGGCCAGACTGGTCATCGCCTCCCCCCGGTCAATGTGATCATCTGCGCACGCTGCGACATCTTTGGACTGAGTGGTTGGCTGCACATCAGAGTCCGAGGAACCTTTATTTTCTGAGGCGGAGTTGGCCGAGCTTCGCAAGCTGACATCGGCCTGGTTTGCACAGCAGGGTGTGGCTTCAGTTTCTTGGGATATTCCGGAATTTCAGCCCTACTGCCTTTCGGCACTTCAGGCTATTGCCGCGGTTGTTTCAGACAGGGACAATGCGCTTTGGCCCGCCCTGTTGCGTGGTGTCCCAACGGGCATTTTGTGCCAGTTCAGGCTGAGGATTCTGCGTGCACTGAGGAGCTCATCATCTGCTTCCAGGAGAACTGGAAGCAGGCCACCGAGCAGCCAGAATTGCTGGCCCAGCTCGTGCAAAAGGAAGTTCAGGAGGGCTGGGTGTTTTCGGTTCCTGACCTTGAGACAGCTCGGGCTAGATGGGGCAGCAGACTTGCCGTCGGGAAGTGCAGTATCGTGGGCGGTGATCAGCTGGGCGGCCAGTGGCGGAAGCCGCGGCTGATCGTGGACACAACCGTGTCAGGTACGAATCCTTCGGTCACGATCCCCGAGAAATACTCCCTCCCGGGAGTGCAGGATGTTCTTAATGCTACCCCATTGCGTGGCAGCGGCACCGAACTGGCAGGCTTCTCATTAGACATTCGGGCCGCGCATAAGACTGTTCGGATACATCCTGATGAACAGGGTCTGCTTGGCTTCCAGGCAGATAATAAACTGGCTCCCTTCGGGGGTTCGTTCAGTGCTCACTGGTTCCAGCGGATTTCAGCCTTCATGGTGCGCATGTTCCACCTGCTCCTGTGGGTGCAGCATGCCCTTTGGGCGTACGTGGACGATTTCTTTCTTGTGCAACCCAGCAGTGTGATCGAGCTAGGGGCAAGTCTCCTTCTGTGCTTCTGTGGGGTGTTCGGGGTACCGATCAGTTTCGCCAAGCTTCAGCTAGGAAGCATTGTCCGATGGATTGGATGGCAGTTTAATCTTCGGGCACAGGTGTTTTGCGTCCCCCAGGAAAAGCTTCACAAGCTCCTTGCACTCTGCGTGCAAGTTCTTGAACACAAGCACACGTGCCGCAAGGACCTCGAGGCCTTAATTGGCTTCCTGCACTGGCTTCTACAGGTATCGCCGGTGCTCCGACCATGGCTTTCTTGTTTGTATGCTGACCTGGCTCGACCGCTTGGCACTAGTTATAGTGTCAGTCCTGGCACCTGGCAAGCCATCACAGATTCCCTTAGCAGTTCACTTCATTTTACCAGCAGCCCGCCCGGCTCAGGCCTGCCGATCGGGGGGAAACTTCTTTCTGCTAAGCACGTGGAATTGCATAGGAAGAGTGATCTCAGGATGGTGCAAGCTTCGGGCAAGCGCTTGTGGCTGCGTGTGGCAGACCCTCGAACAGAAAAGCGAAAACTGAGCGCAATCAGCGCTGAGTTCATCAAATTCTGGATGCGTTGGGCTATCTGTACTCCACGCTTGCGTGCTCTGCGCTCGCCTCCATTGGCCTCTCCGGCGTCCATTGCAGCAGATGCCATGGCTTCAGGGAGTACTGTGGGGATCGGCGGGTTTGCCTCGCTGTCAAGCGCAGGACCTCTGCTGTGGTTCTGTTCGTTTGTAACTAGTGCA